CCCCTCTCCCAAGCAGCTTCCAGTTTTAGGGAAGAAAGAAGAAATAATGAATTGATACTGGTTATCATTGTGACAGACAATTCTGCAACCTCGCTGACAGGTATAAGTATCAGCCCAAAAGACCATTTTAACTTCTTCAGTGCTGCTTCAGAAAAGCTTCAGTTAGAGAGTACTGAGGTTTCTTCCAGCTCTGGGGTGCTAGGGTTCGAGTGGGAGTTCAGATTTTACAGAAATAAGTCATGCTTGGTGTGCTGCTATCAGAGGGACTTCTTCAGACCAAAAGTAGCTACGTCAGGTGGCCACTTAGTTCAGAAATCTTGGCTGGCTTCCCTTCCAAGGGCCTGATGGGGCAATAATGCAAAAATAATAAAAGTCTGATACAAAGCTCAGTGCAAAGTCTCTAGTCCCTGGATTGGGCTGACGTATGTCGCATGGCTGTAGTAATGCCCTTTCCTGTAAGAGCTGGTTGTGTTAGCAGTTAAGCTGTTGCAGGGACTCAGGACGTGGGCAGGTGGATGGGAAGGAGTTCTGATCTGCGCTGCTGCAGAGGAGAATGTGGTACCCAAAACAGGGAAATGTGGGAGTAGTTAATCCTGACTGCTGAAGCTGGTGCATGTTTTGTCATTGGTCTTAATGGAGGCAGGATTTTAGCTCAGCGAAGTGTATTGTTGCTCTTAACCTGTTCTATAAGCCTTTCTCATGTTATATGCTTATGGCAAGGTATTACCTGGGATGCCTTGTTATTTCCCTTTGACTTACTTTATATTCTGCTATGCACTCCCATCTCTTTTGAGAACAAAATACTGTACGAATGCCTTACGGGCTCTTTCTCTTTCACTGACCTTTTTTATGACTTTAAAGAAGTTTCCCTCGGCCCAAGTCTGCTTTCTGTCTTGAATATTGACCTTAGAGTTACACCATCTCATTGTCACTGCACGCAGACTTCTCAGCTATCAAAGTTCACCCACAGGACTCAAAAGTATTCCTAACTCAGAAACACCTTGCCTTTTATGTCCTCTTCCTCTTCCCCCTCCTCCCTCCACATGAGCATTTTAATTTCACAAGCAAACTCTGTTTCTCTATGAATTTCGACAAGCAGTTTACCTGTTTCATGGTAAAAATTGTACTTCAAATTTAAATGTCTTTTTCACTGTGACTGTCATAATATTTTCCACTTGAGGCTGAGACTCCACTGTGGGTTTTCTGTGCCACATTGTCATCTCTATGAATCTGAGCTTAAATGCGTGGAAATTCTGACATTTCAGTAAGAAATATAAAGTGGTTTTTTTATGTTCTCCAAGTTAGCTGTTTCATAGGTATGGCCGCTGGGGTTTGCCCAGTGCCTTGGTCTTTCCCAGTTCAACAACAGATAGAAGATTTCTCAAGATTTTGGGCTTGTTTGCATTCACTGTATTGTGTCACTTCTATGAGAATGAGTGATGGTAATTTTTTACCTGATGGCTTACCCTGAAAACGTGATAAAGGAATAATTACCACAAACCAGGGATTTCCAAACTGACTTTTCTTGGGTGCTGCTACCATTGGCAGCTGTGGTTACATACAATGTCAAATGTGGTGTCCGTGTACCATGGTCTTCAGTGGGGATCTCGGAGAAGGCAGCTTCATACCAAGCAAGCTGAGCCAAACTTAAGTGGCTTTACGGTGGAAATGGCTCTGTGGTGGAAAGAGCTGCATTTAGTAGGGGCTTGGAGAGGGTTTTGGTAGGCTATAGCAGTGTTGAACTCCTTGCCTTCAAGTCAATAGCCTATAGACCAAGACTGCTTGTGCCCAGTAGTGCAAGCCACATATTTTGGGGGTACATTTTGACTATTAATGTTTACCTACTATACAGTATTTGACAAAGGCTGAAATCTCTCTTGGCAGTCATGTGTTTTCATATGGTGGTTTGTTATGTGGAACAAAGTATGCTATTGAGGAGATCACCGGAATTTAATTCTCTAATAGACTTTTACAGCTTTCTATTGGGTAATATGAAATATGTAAAAATGTGCACCCACTGGCAACGTTCATGTCCACAAATATACATATTTTTTGTCATTAGTTACTTTGAGAATATGAGGGGAAATTTGCAGCTATTTCAATGACGAGACGTTTGTCACAACGACAAGGTTTCTAAAATCCAGACCATAACTGCTACCTTGGCTAGCTGCACCTCTTACCAAACAGGTATGAGAATTGATTCTACTGTGGTCTGACTTGACCAATTGCCCTGCAACCCAAGTCACAGTCACTTTGTGTAATTTTATAGTATAAATCAGATTTTACACATCTGGGGCTATGATGTGATTTCATCTGTCGAGCGGGGGGACAGAATTTGGAAATGAACCCAAGGGAGTTGTATTTTATCCTACTCAACTGGAGCTCACAAACTTTGTTCTTCATGGTTGTGTCGGAGCAGCTTCCAGTTGCGTATTAGGCAACATGACTAACATTTGTCACATGTTGTTTATTCTCTTATCTCCTCCCCAGAGGAAGGAGCATGTGTGCTGGAGTATTTCTTTCCTTGGGGAGTTACGTTCCTCAAATCCCATATTTCCTGTAGAAATCATGCCTTTATCATTAGCTTTTATCGCCTCTATGAGCCTTGAAATTTGATGGAATTTGGGTAGCTGACTATTCTAGATATCATTGGAAAAGCTCAGCCTTGTGTGTGAATAGTTTCTGAAATTGTTGCGATGCAGGGAGCAACCATTTGAAGAGGTGTAATATAAACTTTTTTGATTGTAAAATGTTGGGGTTTTTTGTACTGTGAGCTTGTAGCAGAATATGTTTCTCTGTGCTAAATGATAATATATTTAATGATTTGTAGCTGTCTCTTGAATAGCTGAAAGCAATCATCCCTTTCCCTTGTGTCTTACAGTTTATCTAAGTTGCTTGATAACCTGGTGTAGCCAAACCGGGTGGGCTAATTCAGGCCGGCTTCAGCTTGGTGAACTTAATCCCTTCAATTGCGTTGGATTTTTTTTATTAGATACCAAGTTAGCTTCTAATAAAGGTGTCAGAGTGATAGACATTGATACCATCTAGATGCATGATGAAGCATTCTAATGGTGATGATAAGTCTTTCCATCTTAGGGAGGCACCAGTGCATTTTCCTAAAGGTGCTTCCAGAATGAGATGGCTGGTTTATGTTTAAGAGCTGAGGCTTGATCCAGATCATTCACATCAAGGGCAATTACTCTGGGAATGATAATGAGCCTCACGCTTGGCCTCTGCTGAGACTTCCAGTACCAGCACCAGTTATGGCAACAGTGTAAGCCAGTGAGCAAAATAAAATAAAGACCACAACAACTGTTTGGTCCAAGACACAATACTTTCCCGAGGATAAGCCTTATCTCTAAACAAAGAGAAATAAATCCGTGCTTTGGATGCTTATTAAAAGCAGCTTTTCTTTTTTCCCTGGTGGAAAACTGGGTTGTGTCACTGAACTGCACACACAAACTTTTTGAGAAAAACACAAACTTTCTGCAAGTGTGTTCATTTAATCGAATTCCTTTTTTTCTGAGACAAAAACATTTGAAACTTTTTGACCAGCTCTAATACCAGAGGCTCAGGCTTTTTCATCTTCCATCATATGGGTGGTGTGGGGCACACACTGGGGTATGTGCTAGTCCTGAAAACGCCCCAGAAAATTTCCCTGACTCTGGGTCTTTTGTGTTTAGGGCTTCCGCCCTAACACAAGGAGCCCTCTGCCCAGCTTCTTGTTGGCTACAGGTGTCCGCCCTGCATTTTCCCATCCCAGTGGTGACAGTGCATTTTGGCTGCAGTTAGTACAGCTTGGATTTTTTTAAGTAAATGACCATGAAAAGCTTTCAATATTGGGACAAACCCAATAGAAACCTGTATATTATCCAACAGAGGATGTTCTCAATTTCTTTGGCTGGAAACTAAAATTCTTACCTAAGATTTCCAAAACTCTGGAAGAAGTTTGACCTTCCCCATCCCTCAGCCAGCTCTGAAAATCACAGCTGATGGTGTTTTACTAGACTTGCAGTACTGACTTAATAGCTCTTTAGTTATTAAGAATAAAAATGTTCATGTTCTACAGGTTTAAATTATATTAAAAGCCTTTATTAGCACGGCTTGGCAAAATACACTTCTGGCTAGCTTTCTGGCCTTGGGTTAGGCTATTCTTGTGGTTTCTTAATGACATGCTACGAAAAGGATATACTTTATGAGAATCTGGTGCCAGGTTTTGCATGTATTAAGAATCATTTGCCATTTGTTCATAATGCTGCTGAGTGAAACAAACAAAAAAAAAAATTTAAAATTTGGAGTTAACATCTTGTGTTCATCTAGCTTGATTTTCATTGTACATGGCCTTTTATATTTTTTGTATGTATATATTTATATTATATACATTTTAATATTATCTGGTCCTGTGCATTACTGGTGGCAGCTCAGTTCTGGCATGTAACAGTGCTGTTACGAAAGTTACTTTCTGTTGTCTTTTATTTTCCAACCTTCCCTTAGTAATTTTGGCAAAGTTTTCTCAATGAAAGAAGAACTCCTCTGGGCCACGTAATGGGTTTCCCCACAGTTGTTGGGAGCAGAATTAGGCCACTGGGGCAGCTCTTTTTTGTGAAGGCAACTGTTCATGCCATGGGCAAAATGTCTCAGAAGTTTCTTTCCCACGAGACTTGGTGACACACAGGCAGTGCTGAGGTGTGATTCAGCTGTTTGGTTTGTTTTCCCCTCATCATCTGTTTATTTGCTTTGCGACCAACAAGTCCGCCTCTTTTTCCTTCTGCTGATACGACACGTTAGAGTGAAAAACGGATGGGGTGAAGTACCCAGCAGGTGGGAGGAGGTGTGTGCGGTGGGAAAATGGGGCTGGGAAAAAAGGTCTGGGACTTGAGTAACCTTTCTTAGGTGTCTTTCCATTGCAAGAGTTGTTTGTTGCAAAGGTGTGATTTTTTTTTTTGATAGCAAAAGTGCATTGCAGTGGATTTGACCTGATGCTCTCGTTCTTTCCGCAGTGGGGAAGCCTCACAAGTGCAACTACTGTGGCCGGAGCTACAAGCAGCGCAGTTCGCTGGAGGAGCACAAGGAACGCTGCCACAACTATCTGCAGAATGTCAGTATGGAGGCTGCCGGGCAGGTCATGAGTCACCATGGTGGGTGGAAACCGCTTTTGAGGTCTCTTGGACCTAGAGCATCTCTTGTGGGTTTTTTTCCATCTGTTTTTCTTCCTTCCTTTCCACTTTGCATCATTTCCATCTTATAGATTGCTTAATATCAGATAGGCAGGAGGAGAAAAGATGGGGTAAAATCTTCACTCTGTCCATTTAACAGCATTGGTTTTGCTGATTTGTTTTCTTTTTTATTTTTATTGTTAAAGTCAGTATTTCACTTCTTAGTGTGTATAAATATGCAGACATGAAAATAGAGCAAAGTCACCTGTGCAAAGTTACCCTAAAAATGAACTAAGCCATGTATAAGATGTATGATTCTCCCCCCTTCCTTTCTGATAGTGACTGATAATTATAAGAGATAAGGATGGTGGAGGTTTTCAGAAGTCATTATTTCTACTCCCTGTAATATTATCTTATATCCCCCGAAAAGGGAGGGATAGATATAAAAATCTCTAGAGCAGAATGGAATTCAACAGTGTTGATGAAAGTAATTATAACAACAACAAAAAAAGTTTATATGCATTTACATGTGTTAGTATTAATATGTTAACTAACACTGCATGTGTTAATATACATAAAGACTGAAGATTGCCAAAAAGATTGTTGAAAGCAAGAAATGTCAAACTCCATGAATTTGTTTTCAAAAATTTCTGTAGCTATTACTATGGATAATGAACATAATGTCTCAGACTGCAGGGTTGTAGGCTTATCTGTAGCGATAAATACTAAATGGTAGCTATCCAAAAATTGTTATAATTTCTTTCAAAATTAGTGTTTTGGAAACTCTTCTAAAACTGAACGTCCTTTAATTTTTAAAAGTTGTCTTTAGATGTTTGGTACTTCAAGTATTTCATATTTCTTACTATCAGAAAGTATAAAAATTATGTGTTTTCCATTTTGAGTAAAAATTACCACATACCTAAGAATACCAAAAAGTTAGATTGTAGGTAAATGAAAAGTTGAAAGAACATTTCCTCTTTCTTTTCCATTTTGCTTTTCATTGTTGAGTGGAGTCAAATGGCTTCATTTGGAAATTAATTATGTAAAAGTTCTGAAAGGTCATTTCTAGAAACCTAAAATACAAGCTGAAATAAAATCTATTCAGCATTTCTAATATGGGTTATTTTTTGGTGAAAAAAACGACCAAAAATTTTTAGAGTACTTTTCCATCAACAATTTAATCCTATAGAGGCATTCTAAATGTATTTAATATGTATTGCCAAAATGTTCATACAGCTCTAGTAAGTAATTACTATCTTTGTAGATACCCTGGAGACTAAAATCAACATTTAAAATGTAATGGATGATTTTAAAGACATTGAAGTTAGTGATTATCTGCTTTAGGCCTGAATTTACATTTGTAGAAGTCGGTGGAAAGACTGATTTCAGGGCTTTGCTATTTGCAGGTACCTGTTGTGTGCTTGGTCTGTTAGATGGAGTGCTTAGTTGATAGTAGGAGTTCAACCACCGACTTCATTCCCCCAAAAATATACGCTCTTCACTCTACAGCAGCATGCCTGCCTTATTAACCAGCTGGGTGATGATTTCAGTCAGCCTTTCCTTAGGGGAATAACAGTAGGCTGATACAGTTACGACAGCCAGCATGTTTCAGAGATCACGTTGTGGAAGATCTTCCCAAATTCCACTCAACTTCTGGGTTTATTATTCAGTTATTTATTAAAATTGGGTTTACTCTTGTCAATAGTGTACTTCTGAGGAAATCTAAAGCTTTTTCTAAGCTGCTTAATGCTATGACAAGAAGGGTAAGTCCTTAACCTTGTCTACCCAAAGAGGCTGGAATGGTTGTCCTTGCATTGATTTTTCTACCAACTGAAGTTAAACCAGTGCAAACCCCATGTGGGCAGTTCTTTTATTTACACCCTGACTGACTTTGCCTGGGCTTAAAATAGTAATGTTCACACAACCACTTTACTTTCTCAACAAAATTAGCTTAAAACAGCACTTTAAATTCAACTAGTGCCTCCTCTGGGCAAATATGTCTAAATCTCCCTCGGTGAATGTTTAAGGGGAAGTTTGATCCACTGTCTTCGTTTAGCTGTTTAGCGAGGGCACAGCAAGGACAGGCAGCGACAGGGAGCTCCAAATTCAGCTGGGACCAGTAAGAAATCTCACCTCACATCCCAGGGTCACGCTCACCCGTGAAGCTCAGCATGGAAGTGAGGGTCATGAGCACCAACCTGTAGAGGGTCTGCAGCAAAGTCCTTTCTCCTGGGACTATAAAGACACCAGGGAAGAGTATACAAATGATTACTCAGCTTACAGTTAAGTCTTAGTCTAGCCCTGAAAAATGTATTAATTTCCTTCTCTCCCATGTCACACATGGAAAGGATATTCCTGAGGATGACTGAGTTTATGCTTTGGAGATTTTGGTTTATTCATTGGTTTATTTTGCATCACATTGGGGTTAAGTTTTCCTGAGTGTCTTTCCAAATACTTTTAAGTATTTTGTTCTTGCTGAGTGTTTTGAAGCCTCTGAATGCCTTTTGGTGTGACTCCTGGTCACAACTTCACCATTATGCACAGAATAGGTAGAGGTGGGAATTTTCTTATCTGTACCGGCATCCTGCTTTAAGGACGCAAGTGGCTGTACTGGGTCTCAACCAATATGGCCAATGTTTAACATTGCGCTAAATTTTTTCTGTAGAGATGAATTGTTCCAGAAAACTTGGAGGCAGCCCCTAGAGAGTTTGGACTTTTTTCAAGCATTGTGCTCAAGTTGATCAGTTTATAGGCATGCTACAGACATCTACTTGGGTGCTTTCACCATGGCCTGATGAGGCCTTTAATTTCAATTATCTTTGTCTTGCTGATGGCTAGATCACCTGACTAAAGCCCCAAGGGGAAGCGAGAGGAGGGGAAGGAGGGCTAGTTTCTGTATGTGGGTAGGAATGTACAAGTCTCTGGCTCACTCTCCATCTTCTTGCAGGGTGCCGGTTGCTTGCTGAGCTGCCCCTCCTTGTGGCTAGGTCCTGTCCCCTGCTCAGCATGACGGCTGCTGCAAGACAGCTCTGATGACTTTGTTGTTGGCAACTTTTGGCTAAGCAGTGGTGGCCCCGGAGGTAGAAATTAGTCTGCGGTCTCCTAGCTAGCGATGTGTGGGGGGTGACGAAAGTGACAGTCTCTGAATGCCAAGAACATGACCTTTGTGGGAACAAACAGGGAGAAATGTTAAATGCTAGCTATGGTTTACACCCATTTATATGCTCTTCTCCATCTCCACAAAGCAAAAAGTCCAAGGAAATTCTTAAAGTAGAGTGGAGAAGGATACTCTTTTTAGGAGAAGGAGAAAGAAGCCTAGCCCTAGGCTGTGCGAGGCTCAAAGGCCAGCTCCACATAAAACACACAATGGCCTTGTGTCCTTCCCTCTTACATAGTTGCTTAAAACATTGTTAAAATGCTGGTTCCACAGGATACTTCCCACCAGGGTCCATGGGAATATTTCCTGTCACTTCTCTGCACACACACACTTTTTTAAAATAGCAATATTGTGAGCTTAGGAAAGGAAATTGAGGTTGATGGAGTAACACTAATTTATACCAGCTGAGACTTAGCCCAGTGTCTGTTGTCTGCACACAAAAGTATTTATCAGCAAAAAGCGCATTGGGTAATTTTTTTACTTCTTTTTTCCCCTATTCTTTCCTTGCTAAGGAACAGCATAAACTTTTTTAATAGTGTATGTGGCTTCTTACAAATTCAGAAGGAAAAACTAAGAGATAGCCACTTTGAACACTATGATTGAAAGACCAATGTCTTCAGGAAAATAAAGTCCTTGTTCTGAAGAGCATCCATGTTTATGTATTCAGAGTATGGGCTTAGAAACAACATTTGGCGTTAACTGCAATTGAGAACATTAACAGTGTCAGAGGTGGTGAACGTTTGCATGGGCAATCTAGGAACGCACCCTGCTAGCTGATTAAGAACACCCCTGAACAGAAGCATACTAAAACGTGAGCTTTTAGAATTAAAAAGCATTCCTGAGCTGAGACCATAGCTTTCACAGCCTAAAATGAGTTGCTGTATCAAAGCTAGTTATAACGTCAGCTGTTCTTCAGTAGCTCAAACTACCAAGGGAATGAAGTACAATGAAGTACAACAAAAAAGGAATTGCATTTACTGCAGAGTAAATGTGTACATATGAACTTCTACCACAGAGGATCTGATTTGTAACTGTTGGTTGTGTGTGGTCGATTTGCTTTCCCCCTTTTTTATTTTGTTTTTCCTCAAAAAAAAAAAAAAGCAGCCTGGGCTTATTTGTCCTTTATTTGTATATTTTTAAATTGAAATGAAAATTAATGTATCTAGAATTGACAAGGTGATCTTTAGCTTAACTCTTTGGGTTTCTAAAATGTGATATCTCACCTGTTTGGTCCGGTTTTGCATGCAATTTAAATGGTTTCCAAAACTAGACTATTTCCATCTCTCCCTCCTCCCAGAAAATCTACATAACAAAACACATTCCAGTAACTTACTCCCATCGTAACACAAATATTGGCATGATTCAGTGATTCTATTGCAAAAGAGCTGTGCTCTGGATTGTAGAATTGAGTTCTAAGGTGGGAAAAAGAGCTTGCAGCACAAAAGATAGAAAGAAAATGCTTTTATTGGTGGTGATTTTACTTCTAAAGGAGTCCAAGCAGAATTTTTGCCTGACTTAGAGAAGAGCAGATGTCTTTTTTAGCACTATTCATTTTTCATGGAAGAAAGGTTTCAGATTCCATCTAGGAAATTTTACACACATATGCCCAATGATAGAATTATTTAAGTATTACTTAATTGTAGTAAGACATAAAAATGTCACTACATTTGGGGCTTAATCAGATGGCTATGACAGTAATCAAGAAGTTTTCAACTGATTTTGTGGGCAAGTACAGTCCTACAAAGCCAGCATGCTTTTAGCAGGTCTTCCTAGGAGGGATTTAGAGCCTTCTGCACCTCCCTAGGTCCCCACCACCAGCCTCATGTGTCCTGTACAGCAACAGCTGGAAATTCTTGAAGTAGCACTTACGTGCAAACCTGCCCTATCGCAGTGAGGATGGGTATTGTCCCTGAGCAGGGATCCAGGGTTTCATTCAGAGTGTGTGTGCCTGTGCATGCATACGCTAATTTTTGGTAAGCCAAAAGGAGAGTCAGACACCAGTTTCCAGTGAAAATCAACAGACATAATCTTTCCTTTCTTCCAAAATGTCCTCGGTAAATAGTTGAGTAGAAATAGTGCAGATAACTCCTGACCAAGCATAGTATTTAAATAGCTAAGGCTAAATTTTTAAGGTTATTAAAGTATTCCAGACCTCCCAGTCTGCACTGGGCATTAATTAGGTCACTTGAACACTGCATCCCATTTTGTTGCAACATTAGATTCATTTCATATTTATGCTTTTTCTTCTTCTCTTTCACTGATGCCAGCAGGACTGCCTTGTAAATGAGAAACCATTGTGTTTCTCAGGGGGAGCATCCTGTACAAATACAAAAGCAGCAGAGTAAATCATTTTATAGCATATGGTAGATTCTAAGCCTCAAAGTACTCAGCTTTCCATAGCAGCAGAGGCACAAATGGAATCAAATTAATAAATTGCCATGTTTTCTTATTACAAATGTCTGAATTGAGAAGTTCACCTAAGCAGATACTCTGTTTTGTAATTGCCAGGTATTTGCTCTTCCTTACTAGAAAGAGGGCAAAGACGAGGCTTTTATCACCCTATTTTTCATATATTATGTGCTAGCAAACAGCTGCATGTTTAAGAACAGGGGAGTGATTATTCCATATTAGGATCCTGAAGCTAGTAAAGTTACATGGGAGGAAAGTGGGCTGGTGGTGTTCATTTATGGCACAGTCTCAGTGAGAAGGTGTCTGTGACACAAAAGGCTGTTACTGTGAGAGACCAGAGGAGGACTAGCAGAAGATACAGGTTTCAGTTTTTCTCTGCTACCTCTGCAATACAACCTGTGACTTCACTGAAAGATTTATCTAATACAGAGAAAGCAATGGGTTGCTCACAGATTGCAAATTGTAGGAACTCTGTGCAAGATTATCCCAGTTTCTATTTCTCTGCCATCCATTCTTCTCAAGTAATTTTTTTACATCTCAACCATTCCATTAGCACATGGACCAATGGCTGATCCTTCTCACATTTCTCTTGCTACCTTCTGAAGTTGAATGTGGGACAATTAGGCCATGTACTAAATTCATGGCAGCAGACCTACACATGGAATCACACTTGACATGTACTGCAAATGACTCAGGCTCTCTGGGCCTGATCCACAGCATGGTACTGCTGACCCTTCGTGGTGTTTATAAGAGGATGCTCAACAAAAACAGAATACTTTGTAGGTATTTAGTGAATAGCTATGTCAGCAAGTAACATAAAACCCTGTGCGAGTTGGTCACTACCCTGGTCAGAAGCAATGCCTATACTTCTTTTGCTCTAGCACCTTATTCCCTAACTGAACAAGCGACAATGAGTGAAATGAGTAAAGACAGAAAGGGTCATTGATTTCTTGTTATTGTCTCAAAGACAATGTATGAGCATTCTCCTAACATAGTTAGCACAGGAGTGCTCCCTGCTGATCCCAAAAACTGGAAGGACAGACACAGAAGACTTGCATTCACAGGTTGTTAGGTCTGTGTTTGAAGGGATAAAATATTAATTAAAAAATTGGTAGTTTCTGTGACTGATTCTGAAGGGAATTTCCATACAATGTTAATCCTTTCACTCCAGTACAGTGTTTGTTGATTTTACAATCTCACGTATAGAGAGAGAAAACACGCTTTAACAGGTCTTCCATTTGGGAAGCCTTTGTCTTGGGAAACACACAGCCAGGCCCAGGAAACACAAGTCATCAGTGCTTTGTATGTTTTTTAGTCATTGAATTTAGTGCAAAAAGAGAATAAGAACGGTAAGCATGCCATATGATAAGCATGAAGTTAAGGAAATGCACAAAGAATTATAACTAAAAAGTTGCATTGGCAACAGGTGACCATATTGAAGGGAGAATAACAGAAAATGTCATCTACAGAGGGAGTTTTCAAAAGTGTCCCCTCTTCACTGGGGATCTTGAATATTCAGAACAAAACAAGTCCTTCAATAAATGCTTAAAGTTGGGCTTCTGCTAAATGAGATGGTCCCAAAGAGAGGTGTTTTGTAAATGTGGCTCTGCTTAAAGGTGATTGCTATCTTGATGCCCAGTGTGTTCTTGCACCTTGCTTTATTTTGTGTGTTGCGCTTGTTGCGCAATCAGCAGGGCTCAAATGATTTGCGTTGTCTGTAAAGTGTAGACCAGACTTGTCTGATACAATTTTTTGGTTTTATGTAGTACCTCCTATGGAAGATTGTAAGGAACAAGAGCCTGTGATGGACAACAATATTTCTCTGGTGCCTTTTGAGAGACCTGCTGTTATAGAGAAGCTGACAAGCAACATGGGAAAGCGTAAAAGCTCCACCCCACAGAAGTTTGTGGGTAAGCTTGAAATACGCCTTTTATTATTTTTAGTGTGTAGGTATAGGCTACTTGTAATTTGTAATAGCCAAAAGAACAAAGGAAAAAGTAGCGCGCTCAGAACTTGTTTGTGATGGGGAGGGACAACAACAGAGATGGTTAAATCACAGCAAGAAATCCTGAAAATTATTTAATTACCTTTACCAAGCCAGAGAGTTCAAAAGTGAGGTCCCCAGAATCATGAAAATGGCTTAGAAAATCTTGAGCTTTTTACTGTGCCTTAAGGCTGTTTTGGTTTTTTTAACTTTTCTCTGGCCCTTTTGAGATTTAGACTTGTCATCCTTCCTTCTCCTTGTCCCAGCAAATACAAACTAAGACTCTCATATAATTATCTGTCTCCATATGTGTATGTGTTTAAAAAAAAAAAAACCAACAAAAAAAAAAAAAAAAACCAACAAAACAACCACAAGTATCTCAGTACTTGTAACTTGTATTAAATTCTTGAGAGTTGGCAACAACTGGTCTGATAATACTGGCATGAGGAAGTTTAGGCCCAGAATTCATATTTTGCTTTGTACCTTGACATCTTAAAATTGTTCAGCTTGTAACAGGAGACAGTATGGGGAATTTTACTGTAGCTTAAAGCTTTTTACTGCAACTGAGGCAGTGCTAAACTTAGGAAGGGAGCTGGGACAGAGAATTATTTGGGCAAGTGTATGCTGCTAGACTCCAAAGTCATGTAATAATGCGTTTTCCATGCTCACTCCCTGGAAGGACAGTTGTACATATTTTAAGGGTGTCAAATACTCATTCTGCCTACACTGAGGACACTTACGGAGAGAGGATCAGAGGACTGTAAGCAATTACCACAGCCATTTAGAACAGTCATTGCCCCTCAGCTAAATGCAGATTCAGATGGATTTGTTAAATCACCACTAAAGGTGGTTTTAAGCTAACTCACATGGTTTTGAATAGTAGGGAGCTAGCAGCATGCAGCAGCTTGCCTGGGGGGCACTGACACACTGACCTGGCTGCTCTCAGTCATCTGACCATTCCTAAATATTGGTGCTAAGCCAAGGTTAGGTCAGGAACAATCCAACCTACAGGAGGAACGCTGGGAGGCATCAGTATTTCCTATACTGTTATTAGTCCTTCTGAGATAAAAGCTTAAGTCTTAGACTGTTGTCTTTAAGAGTGGTCTGAAATGAATTACTGTATAGCTGATAAGAACGGGAGGATTTATACTCTGATTTAATTTACTGCTGTGAAAACTGTTGGGGTTGAAGAGGGTGGAAATGGGAGCAGGACTCTACTGACAAGACAAATACAGCTTTATGAGATTGTAAACATGGCCCCATCATAGCAGGTTTCCCTAGTATTGTCTCAGCAAGTGCTGTACGTTCTTGCAGGTTGCGATCAACGGTGAAATAGCCATGCTGACACTTAAACTGGTGTGTCTAGACCTCAGAAACATTACAGCCTCAAAAGGAAGAAGGGCAGTTCACACCTCTTGCTCTTTCCCCCGCCCCCAGGTTGTCCAAAGACTTGAACAGAATTGTGTTTGCAATACCTCTCAGAGGTTATCTTTGCAGGGGCTAGAGATTTTATCTGAGAGTGCTGGAGACCTTGCTCCCTTCCCTTAAATTCTGGTGTACCCATGCCTGCTCTCAAAGCAGTATAGTTTACTGATTGTAAGTATACCTTGCAACTGAGGCAACTCACTTTTTGGGTGGTATAAGTTGAATCCATTTTTGGAAGCTGTAGATTATGGTCTCTTTTTTAGACCAGAAAGGTTATTTTACTTGTCCAGTCACGTGCAATTGACCATATGTTGTTATTTTCTTCAAAGGGAAATGTACCCATTGGAAATCCTTGCCTGAGATACGCTGTAGCAGATTATTATTCTCTTCTGTAGGCTATACTACTTTGTTGTTAGATAAACCTGTTTCTTCTAAAGGTGTAACAGATCATTTCAGTATTCCATTTTTCTGGGGCTAGGAATTCAGGGTTTCATGTGACATGCAGGTTTTTTTCCAGATCTAGCTGTAGGGGAAAAGCGTCCTCTTTCATATTTACCGTATCTTATTTTTCTGCCTTTTCTGATCTTTCATGGCATCACAGCGTTTGAATTGAAAAACAGCAGTCTTTGCTTTGCTACTTTTCTTTTTTTCACCATGACCTTAATTTTCTTCCCATTTTCTCCCCAATGAAATATTGTTCAACTCTATCAGGAAGAACTTGTAATGGTTCTCTTGCTTGCAGGAAATTTTCTTGTGCATACTGCAAGTGTGGCACCTGTCCAAAACAACTTAATGGTGTTTATGAGAAGGTCATGTAATCATAAGCTAAAATCTTTGCATGCTACATCTATCAATGCTTTACTGCTCTTTCTGATCAGCAATCTCCAAGGGACCTTGGTTATGGACCACAGTCTCTACTCTGGCTGAAATTTCGGGAGGAAAGGAAGCAGCATACAGCAAATAGAGTTAATTTCTGAGTGAGAGACTTGGTTATATATCTGCTATTGAGGTACTAGTCTTACCAAACCTGTTGAAATAGTGGAGGCAGCAAGTATAACTTCTGATGCGCAGGAGTCTGAGTACTTCTTTTTGCTTCCCCTTCAGTGAAGCAGACACTAGTGAAATTGAAAGTAACCATCTTCAAGCTGATCATGAAGCAGATTCACGTAATTTCAGTTTGAATGTGGTGCTTAGTCTCACAGAGTGTCACTGAGGTTAAGAACTAGCAGGATACAGAAGGAGACATTTATGTGGCTTACGATAAGACCACGGCTGTTATAGTAAGAATTAAAAATACACAGGCATCTCAGAACAGATGAAGATCAACCAGCTTCAAAATTAGAGTCAACTTCTAGTTAATGGGGGTCCAGAAGAAATTTACCCAGTGGTAAATTCTGTAACTGCTTTCACCAAGATTTCTTGCAGCTTTCTCCCAAGTGTCCAGCATTGCAGTTGCTTTAGATACTTGATGAGATGGACTACAGGTATCACAGGACAGCTGTGTGTGTGTGTGCTTTGATCTAGTTTCAAATACCTGTTTTGAGGTTTTTTTGAATGTCATATGATAAAATGACCACAGTGGAGAATGTTTCTTCCTCTACTTCACTAATGTAGGGCAAGAATAAATAGAATTTGAGCATAATTTTGCATGCAAATTCAAAATGATGAATCTGATTAGTTAGTTTTAAGTACAGATTTGGCTAAAGAGGATTTAGAATTGAAAACCATGTTGGACTGGTTTGTTAGTGTTGCTTCCGAGCTCTTTGTTTTATGCCCTCTCCTCCCCATGTTATCATTTATTTTACTTTTTTATGTCACGTTCCATTTCTAAGGCTCTGACATCTTTGGAACCAGTTCATAATTAAAGGAATGAATAATTCAGGTCACTGGCAATTTACAATTTTCTCTACTCTGCTGTCTGTGGTGGAATAACTAAATGTGGAAGATAAAAGGAATCAAAATAAGGTTTGCCTCATTCATCCAAGTAGTCCATAAAGGATAGGTATTATTTCTTGATCTATATAGCCTGCAAAGGACTGACCGTGTGTTTGGAGACTGAATCAGACTCTCACCAGACCCAGTTCTTTATTCAAACACAGGAACGATACAGGTGGCCAGAGCAGGTGATAGGGACCAATGGACTTCTCCAGTTTCATTTCTTTCTTCCCACCGTGCCAAAGACACCACATGCCTCCTGGAGCTGTCCTCCAGTTCCACTTTGGCCCCACCTGGGAAGGAGCTGCTCAATTTCAAGTGAAGCTGGAGCCACCTTCCGTGACAGAGTTGTCCATCCGATCAGCGGCAGAACAGCCATCACAGACAGCAAGACTGCCAGCCCATGGCAGAAACACTGAAAAGAGGATGTTTGACGGCAAGAATCACCATTAGGTCACGTTAGATTACAAAGGCCGTCATTGTAGCACTGTTTGCTTCTTCCTTCCTTCCCTGTTTTTCTCCAAATGTCTGATGTGTATCAAAGGAACAGTTTTCTACACTATGCTTTCTTTTGGTAAGCTATAAGGGTAACACAGCCATCCGTAGGGAAACGTAGTGAGGTACATGAACATCAGAAGCATGTGAACAGTACTGCTGAAGAGAGTAGGAATATTCACGTGCTTCACTTTAGACTTGCATTTAATTATCTTGCTAATCAGGGCTAAGTTCCCAAGCAAAAGTGATGCATCATCTCTAAGGATAACATGATTGTACCATGGGTAATGTAAAATTATTTCTCTCTTTATGCATCACTTTAAGATAAGCCACGCTAAGTGGAATGAATTATTATAGTCAAAAATAAAATGCTGAGTGATAGCTATGTTGAAATGTACTAATGCTATTTGGAAGAGATTTGGGCTTACAGTTATCTTCCTTTCTTATGGTGGTTTACACACGTTTTGTTCCAAGCAATTTTGGCAAAAGGTGATAGAAGATTCTTGAGTTCTTTAATTCTTGGTTAGCCAAACCAGTTGTATGTAGCGACTCCTTGAATTTATTAGGTTACATTATTGAACAAATGTCTGGGTTTATGTACTGAGGCAGTGAAAAGTAACCAAGACAATGAAAACCAACCAAAATTATTTATCAGACTTTGCAGCTTAAAAAGTTAACTGTCTACAACTAGCTAATACTTGTGTGTGTGTGAACACGTATGAGCACCTATATCTTGTATCTTACACGTGTAGTTATACATATAACCTTTTCTATTTAAAAAGAAGAGATTATATGAACTTTCCTTGTACTGATACTCTAAAGCCATCACTGGAAAAGCAGTGCTGCTGAGCTGAGCCCTGATGTAAGTAGTGGTAAATTTGTTACTCTCAAAGGAGAGCTGTGATATGTAACATGCCTTGTGACTAGCATAATTTACCAGCATGTGGTTCTGGTTTCACATATCTGTAATGCCATTGGTTTAAAAAGGTTATAAGGATGTGAATTTGGATTCACATAGTGATGAATCAGCCAGCTTCATCATCATTATGTATTTATTTATCCTGTGTCAATGAAGTTGCTTTTGCCTTTTACCAAATGAAGTTTCTCTATTTTGTTTTCTTGCCTAAATAGACACTGGGTGGGTGTGTGTATTTCTTTTCTCAGCCCAGAACATTGAGATAGGATTTTTTTTTTGAGGGGAGAACTACAAAGATACTATAGCCTGAACGTGAGATGGCAGGTCAGCACCCAGTGCACCTCTTACTTGCTCTGTTCTGTGGCCACATGCGGTCATTTTATAGTTTTCTGCTGGTTGAAGGATTTACATACTGTGGCTCTAAAGAAGCCACCATACCAGCCCCCTGTACCTGTTGCTTAGGTTTCTCACTATGCAGTCCTGTTGTAAGGTATGTATGAGGCACCTCGGTGCAGGGGACATATCTCCTTTAATTTTGGGAGAGTATGTCTAATGGTATAAACCAGTGGAGCTTCGTTGACCTCGGTGGTTCAATCCCATTTTCTACCAGTTAACATGTATTTCCCTAACTTGAAGTGCGGGCACAGTCAGGCCCATTGGAAAGTTTGGAATCTATCTGGAGGTTGCTGCAGCCACATGCTTCACCTGGACTAAAAAAAAAAAGCGGTTGGTGAGGTTGCTGTTTTACCCATCTCAGGACAGAAACTTTGTAGGAGGTCAGTAAACAAGTAGAAGGAGGCTGACTTTGGACTCGAATGAATTTCACCCCAAGTCAGGGGTTTTCTGTCCCTCCCTACCCCTTTTACAGTGAAACCTTGGAGTGATTATGTTGATTTTTCTCATTCTGATTTGCTCTTGTCCCTTAGGTGAAAAGCTTATGAGATTTGGCTATCCAGATATTCCCTTTGATATGAACCTAACCTATGAGAAGGAGGCTGAGCTGATGCAGTCTCACATGATGGACCAAGCCATCAACAATGCAATCACCTACCTTGGAGCTGAGGCACTTCACCCCCTGATGCAGCACACACCAAGCACAATTGCAGAGGTGGCCCCAGTCATCAGCTCAGCTTACGCTCAGGTCTATCATCCTAACAGGATAGAAAGGCCTATTAGCAGGGAAACAGCTGACAGTCACGAGAACAACATGGATGGCCCGATCTCCCTCATCAGACCAAAGAGTCGAACCCAGGATAGAGAGGGCTCCCCCAGCAATAGCTGCCTGGATTCTACTGACTCAGAGAGCAGCCATGAAGACCGCCAGTCCTACCAAGGAAACTCTGCCTTAAATCCCAAGAGAAAGCCAAGCCCGGCTTATATGAAGGAGGACGCCAAGGCTTTGGATGTCACAAAAGCTTCTAAGGGCTCTTTAAAGGATATCTACAAGGTCATCAACGGAGAAGGGGAGCAGATTAGGGCTTTCAAGTGCGAGCACTGTCGTGTCCTTTTCCTGGACCATGTCATGTACACCATCCACATGGGCTGCCATGGCTACCGGGACCCGCTAGAGTGCAACATCTGTGGCTACCGAAGCCAGGACCGCTATGAGTTCTCATCACACATAGTCCGAGGGGAGCACACATTCCACTAGGCCTTCTCATCCAAAGGGGACTTGTATGAAGTAGAAGAACTGCACATGAAGAAATACTGCACTTACAATCCCACTTTTCCTCAGACATTGAGACGCCTATTTTGTTGTTGTTGCTGTTGTTGTTGTTGCTGTTGTTTAATTATTATTATTAACCTTATTTTTTGTGAACCCAACCTCATTTGCTCTGTCCAGCTTAAGAATGGAAAGAAGGAAGGGAAGGGATAAAAGAGGGGTTTGTTGTTGCCGTCACTTTTTGGTGAGTGACCCACCTCACTTTCTGTGGGAATTGAAAGGCAGTCCGTTTCTGTCTCAATCAGCTGTACATCATATCCTGTTTTGGGATATCGCTCGACCTTGCTAGGTTCTTTAAAGTCCCAATGAGATGCCACTCATTTACAATTTCAGATGAATAGGTAGAAACATTTCAGAGGAGAGCCTTTTTCAAACATGTAGATACGGTGCGGGGTTTTGGTGACTGGAGGAGAGGGTGGGGGAACTTAATTCTGCAGAATGAACAATTATTTTTAAAGCAAAACTGTTAGGGATTTAGGAGCACGAGTCAAAGTTGATATTCCTTTCAAAATTACTTTCTAGGGTGAGCTGTTTTTCTGGGTTCAGTGTGTATTGCTCCTCTAGAATGTAAAAAAAAAAAAAAAAGTATGTCTTAACACTGTACCACATTACAGCAGTTTAGTTTCATAAGTCTGAGGGCCTTCTGTGGTAAGTCTGAGGCTTTGTATTTTTATTTTCCTTAACTTATGAAGCACCTTTTTTAGAATTGTTGATTTGCTGTTACTCCATGCCTATGTGTTGATTCACTGGCTTCTTAGAGACCCTTGGGAGCCTTACTTATTTAGTTGCACCCTATGTTTTAAGAAATAGCATTTAGAAATAACATTTAAACTTGCTTCTAGGACAGTAAGTGGCCTAGGAGTGGGTGAAAGAGTCTGCAGTTTATTCAAGAGGTTCTGCCGCTCTTCTGAAATAATTTTCTTTTTAAATTACGAAAGTACTAGTAGCAAAGTGTTCTTTAAATATAATTATATATCTATATATACCTATATAAATACTTTCTTATCACAGTGTTAACCTCTTGGCAACAGCCTAAACTAAGACTTGCAGCTGGGAAAACGCTAGCAGCCAGATCCTTGGCCAGCATTAATCCTCTTGGCTCCATTGAATTTAATGGAACTACCCCAACTACTTCAGCTACATCAGGATCTGAGCCCTGAGCATTTTTTCTCTTGTTGACATCTTATTTGCTAATTTGCTGAACCAGTGACTTCCTTTTGTTTTTAAGTTATCAATTCTGCTTTAATTTAGGGGTGGAAGTGCTTGCAGATTTTGGTGGATAGCCTTTGCTCTTGGAGAGCACAGAAGCCCTGCAAACGAACAGATCGCATATGACCTTCCCTTACTTCTTCAGAAAGCGATACATGGAGATGCAGGTGCTGTGCTTTGATTTGGATTTGCAGATTTCATTTTTATTCCTAATTCATTAATTTCACTGTAGGGAAAACAAATGGAGAAGCCAACTCCAGAGCAAGTCCTTGAGCTACAGCCTGGACAAGACAAAAAAACCACCAATCTCTTTTGTTTCCTTTCTTTCTCTCCCAATAAATAACAAAGCCAGCAACCACCCAGCAAGTTGCAGGTTGCATCAGTAAAAATTGGGCTTAAACCTATGTGACAGATTGCCATTGAAACCCAACTGTTTGTACCAATCATAGTTGAAATGTTGTTGTTTGGCAACAAGAGCACAGCTTGAGAATGGAAAGATCTGCATGGGTTTAACCCTTTCTGTGCACATGGTCTCCATGCGCTTGGTGAGACCTTTTCCAAAGTATAAAGTTACTAAAGTATAAAAGGGAGAGCACAATCAGGCCGTAATGAATTCCCATCTGCTCACTTCAATCTGTGTACTCGATGCATATGCCAGTTTGCTGTTCGTTTTGAGGGTACTGGTTTTTTTCTTCTTCTCTTCCTAGACCTGGAGCATTTGAAAGTAGGAGCTGAGTGGTATTGATTGAAATCTTTTTATGGTGACATTCTTGGCAGCTAGAACCTGTGTTTAGAAAGGATACAGTAGATCATGGCCAGATTACCTGACGACTGCTTCCCAGCACTGAAATGCTATTAAGTAGGAGCTGGTAAAGTCTGGCAGTAGCCTATTAATTATAATACAATATGGAGAGAAATGTCATCTTGTGTAATGTGAGAGCTATCAAGGCTGGGAATATACAGGCTTTGGAGAGACAGATTTAAAGACCTATTCCCAACATTGTTCTTAATGTTGTTGGGTTCCTCCCCCTCCTTCTTTCTTCATCCTAATGCAGAGAAAACTCAGGCAAATGAACCGCTGCCGTCCTCCAGACCGTTCTCATTTTCTTGTGCTTGGTGCAATCAAAGGAGTGCTGAGGTGGGAAAGGTCTTTTAAGAACAATGTGCAAAGGGAATGGTGCTGGGCCTGAAGGTCACTAGGCTTGCATTGGCCTCCAGAAAGACACATGCCTGAGCCAGAGAAAAGGGTTTCCAACAATCCCTTTCAGTCTCTGGGGGACAACACTCCGTTCTCCCCTCTGTGGTCAGTGGAAAGAACGTGGGCTATGGTTTCTTCGAATAGTTAGCACTAGGGAAAAAGTGTTAAGAAATTCTGCCTGTGTTTGGAAAAGCACCAGAATACAGGAAAGGGAGAGAATCTCTTGTGGAATCTCTGTCTGCAAATAAGTTGGCTGCAATTATATCTGCAGTTCGTTAGTGTGCACTTTCATTCATTGATGATTCCTTGGTACCTCCTGTAGTCTATATTCTGTAGATGTTGAAAAGATCGGACGGGGAAGTTCAGTGGTTTTGTAGCTGGCTTCAGTTAAGCCCAACTTCTTGTTCCAATGGTAGCGTGAGAGATCTGTATGTGAGCACTGCCATGTCCTGGTGTCACAGGCACAGAGAACTGGGGAGCCGGTAGGGAGACACGCTGGTTCAGTTATCTTCCAACAACTGCATTTTTTGAAGAGCAAGAAGCTGAGGGGTTGCATTAATTTTTATTTTCAATGTCCTTTTCTGAACACTCACTGAAGTTTTTCATCCTAGAGCTAGGGAAAGGAGAAAGATTAAATTCTAGTTCAAATTTAGAACAAAGTTTTGGACTAGCATTTATTTTAGCATTCACTTCCTACTGAAAATTATTGGAGGGTTTTATATAAAGCAGTTTGCCCCTACGCGGAAGTGTGCAAAATGGGGCCTCAGAGATTTTTTTTTTTCCGTACTTGCTCTCTGCAGATTTCTAAGAAAAGCTCTTGAGTTTTGTCGAGTTCATTAGTCATTCGCAATGTACTAGGAATTTCAGTAGATAATCCTTGGCCTGCGGATCCATTTGTTCTAAGTATTTGGAAATCGAACGTGGCTGATTTTTATTGGACTCTCTTGAAATTCTTGGAATCAGGTTTCCAGTTAAAAACATGCATTTACAAATTTGGAATTGGCTTCCTGTGAGCATTCCCCATTTTCATTTAAAAAAAAAAAAACCAAAACACGCCATTTCTGCACACATCCCTGCCAGTAAAACCTTTTGCATCTTTTTACATCAAAAATGGCAAGATTCTGACTCAATTTAGAGTATTACAAGCCTATTAATTGAAAGAGAATTGTGACTCCTTATTCTGCTCTTGGTATGATCCATATTCTTGGAGCAAAGGGCATTATCTATATATCTGCTGTTATGGCCAATGAATTTTACAGCCACTTCTCTTTGCAATCAGTTAGGAGTGCACATCAAAATATATAGCATTTTTCAGTAAAGCCAGCTCTTTACTCAATAACTTATGGGATTAAAACAATTTTATTCTCCTTAAAAAGTGCTTCCATCTATGATGTGATGTGAAAGGTGTCTAGGCATTAACCTCTATGGGTCTATATCGGAGAGAAAGAATCTAACTTTGTTAATTGGCCTGATTTTTTAATGGTAGTAGTTTCTACAGTGTGAGGACAGAGCTCACAAAATAGCCATGTGGAACTAAAGTATATTTACTACAAGGTGAAGAAATTCTTAATCTTAAGAGTTTCCATATTTCTTTCTGTTTACAAGGGCATTCCTAAATTGGGGCTGTCAGGCAAAAGAGGAGGCCAGGAATTAAACCAAACCCTTCAAAACTGGCCTTTAATAGGACATTATGACTGTTGTCTAGGTCCAGAGCTAGCTTGTTCATATTTGAAAGAAGCCAGACAACTGACACTCCTTCCTCCAGAAAGAAACTTTGGAAATAATTTAGGGAAAGCTGCTTATTTCAGCCAAGGACAAGAGCCACAGTAATACAGTTCCTTTACTAGATAGTATTACTTTCTTTAACTCTTTGTTGTGTGTTATAACATAATGAGGACGGAGAAGGGAGGCTGCACTGATACCGGGGTCGCCTAAACTCAGTGTGGGATTTTAGGAAAAGTGTGATGAAATTGGCTTTGACGCTATAAATTTGCATCTTAGCTTGGCTTAGTATCATTTAAAAACAAAAATGGATGGTAGTAATGGCCTGCGGTCTAGGGCAGCTGGAGATTTTGAGAAAGTATATTTATATATACAGTATCATATAATTAGATATATGCTTTATTGTATATGTGCCTTTTTCAAATGCATTTTGGAAGTTTGTGATGTCTTTCATGATATCCTACCATACCCTTTCAGAATGCATGACGAAAACCAACCCAAAGTAAACATCCCTTCTCCTACAGAGTAGCGAGGCAGATCCCTCTCCCCTTCTGCACCTTCCTCGGCAGCTTGACTGAGAGAGAAGACCATCTTAGTACTTTGCCATGAGATTTGCCGGACTCAGCTGGCTTTTGGGAGTGGGAAGGGCTGAAAATTACCCTAGCAAAGTGCATTCCAGCTATCCAGCCAGAGCTGGTCTTGGAGCTGGTCCCAGCCAACATGGCATCCCCAGAGCGGCACCAAGACTTGCTGCAAAAGCCCCAGCTGCACACAGTCCTGTAGAATGCCAGGGCAGACATCTCCTGTTTTCTTCCCCTCCACAGCTTTAAGTAAAGCACGCTTGAAAATGGACTTTGCTGTGCTTTTAAGTTCCCACTTAGGAACGGGAGCAGACTTTAAAGCACCTGCCACTTGCTTCAACCTGGAAAAAGAAATCCAGCAGGAACAAAAGTCCTTTGGAAATGGTTTGCAAGTTTGACTGTCATGCTGCTGCTGTCCTAATAATTGATGTAGAGATGAGAGAAGCCCATCTGTAGAAGACGTTATGGGGGTTTATTAGCTAGAACACTTTGGTGAAAAGCGCAGTG